AAGCTATAGCGATTACTCATATTATAAACACACCACATGTGTTTTTGTTAAACTACATAAGAACTATTGAAAGTTATAGCGGCAAACACATGCACATAGCACACAGAATTATATACGTATGTTTACACATAAGGCACTATACCTTTGATAACACTTATTCAAATGATTACTAAAAAATAAATCATCATCATCACAAACTTAAAAACTGCTTGAAAAAGTACACTCCAAGGAAAGTGCATCAGAAGTGCCAGAATTTTTAGTGGAAACAATAGTGAAACCTACAGTGTTGGCTTCAGGTTTGTGGATAGCATATAAAATTTCCCCACTGCCCATCAATAGTCCGATGACATGAACTGCATCTCACTTATGATGAAGTGCACATAGACGACATGTACCTCCTCATACCGAGGGAAAGGAGACACTTGTCTCGAGCCACTTGACTACCCACCCATGGTCCAGTGCTCACATCAAGGAGCAATGCGGTAGGTGAAGCATATAACACAGAGAATTACAACATGTTATTGCGCTTTATTTAAGCACAACACACACAGAGTACAGATCATATAGAAAACAACCACCAACTTGAACAAAACATCCCTCACTCTAGCTCAGGGGTCTCCAAACTTTTCAGCCCGAGGGCCGCATTAACTATCAAACAGCAGTTCGGGGGCCGACTACACACTTGAGGTCCAAATAAAAAACAATCAAAACATGGATGTTGTTTTTAATTATTTATTTAATATTATTTTATTCAGTTATTATTTAATAACACATTGATACACTACACATGAACACCTGTATTAGTGTGAATGGTGAAATTGTTTCCTGGATGCCAAAATAGCAGACATTTCTGGCTTAAGATTTGTTGTCCCTAACATCAACAGTGACCTGAGATTATCATCGGACAAGTTTGTTCTCAAATTGTTCTTCACGTATTTCATTCTTGAAAATGTTTGTTCACACAGGTATGTTGTTCCAAAGATTGAAAGGTACCTTGATGCAAAAAGGTCTCCACGGGCCGGATGAGAGGGCCTCACGGGCCGCATCCGGCCCGCGGGCCGTAGTTTGGAGACCCCTGGTCTAGACTACTGAGTTTTGTCGACAAAAGTGGACTTTTGTCGACAAAACTATACCAGCGTCTACACTACCGTTGAGTTCTGTTGACATAACGTCGACAGAACTCAGTTTTGTTGACGCTGGTATACCTCATTTTACGAGGCATAACACCTTCTGTCGACAGAGTTCTCACAGCACCAGTGTCCCCCTGGAGTTCATGGACCCCTCAATAGGGTATTTCCCCTACCTCTGGTTGAGTTGAGGTCAAGGAACCTGCTCTCAGCATGTTCCCCAATTGTCCCTCACCAGACACTTTCCCTGCCCCATAAGAGTTACTCACAACTTGCTGGAGGGGGGAAGGGAGAGGTCTGTCCTTCTCCCACTGCCCCCCCAGCACGTTCGGCGACTCTCCCTGGCAGCTGGGGAGTAGAAGGGAGCCGCTTCTTGTGCCAATTGAAGCTGGTTGCTCTGGATCACTGTGGAGCACAGCAGTTATCTAGGAAAGTAGTATGCCCCCTGCCAGGGACAAGTGAGTAGGCTACAAACCTGCCGGGAGGTAAGGAGGCCTCTAGCTCCCCTCGCCCCTAACCCCAACTACCACGCCCAGGTGAGGAGTGGAGAGGGCAGGCCACTGGCATACATTAAGGAAAAGTTTTGTTAAACTAATAACATATTTAGAGATGTGTCTCTGCCACTATAACAAAAAGGGAAAGTAATTAATATTAATTATGGAAAGTGTTGGCTTGAAATAGGAACAAGAGAATCATCCTGAAATTCACTGCACACACGACTATAGAGTGGAGGGAATTTAACTTAAGACAGTTCACACTCTTATGTTCATCAATGATGGCAAATTAAAACTGGTCTTACATACTCAATGCACAGGTCTAGAGCATTTAAAAAAAGCTCAATATGTTAAGCACAGTACATCTCCAGAGAAATTAAGTATTGACTGCATGCCTCAGTGAGTAGAAAATCTACAAAAATCTATATGATGCATTGATCCAAATATTACTTTTTAACAATTCTATCTGTTATTTTTAAAACATGCATTTGACGCAGATATAATTCTCCTTAATTATCAAGCAACAAAAATATAATTCTATTTATACAGCATAGACTTTCAATATGATTCACTCAAATTCTATGCCTTTGAATAATGACAAATTTAATTTGGGGAATAATCTCCAGTTTTAAAAAACCCATCTTATAACCGTTCTTTCTTACAACACCAGAGCAAACAAGCACCCAAGAAGACCGAAGTCTATTAAGTTAATGTAGAAACTAACTCAGAAGCTCAAATGAAAATTAAGCACAGAGCAATTCATGTCCCATCCTGAATGATACTGACGTGGAGGGCAGATCTTAGGTTCACAGAGGAATGTTATAAAAATGAAGACTAGTAATTTTACTGTGGAAGGTTTGGAATTCAATACTACATAACTTCCAGGACCTCAGTCTGTTTCCCAGTGGATAACATTATAACAGCCATCACAACTGGGAAGTTTAGCAAAGAGTGAAGGGAATGAATGTGCATGAGGCTAGATTGCTTTCCCTATCCTACTTGTCATAGCAATGTTCATTTAAGTTAGTGGGAAGCTTACAATGAAACTGTGTGGTACTTTGCTTTGTGGAAAGGAGTAATCAGTGTCAAAAACTGTCAAAAGGCACTTTCAAAATCCACAAATTCATACTTTTTTAAAGTGAAAGCCAGACATCTCAATTAAACCACCGCATACTTAAAATCAAACACTGATTGTCTCAAATCGGGCACCCAAAATTAGTGGACACTAATTCTGGCCTTAATCTCTCTCTGCTTCAACTCTGATTTTAAAAAAGGGGTAACTCTTCCGTATTTCACAGTCATGTTGGGCAAATATTCATTTCTTTAAAGTTTGTGAATCATTCAGATTCTAAGGAATGTAATAATTTCTTATTCAGAGCAGGGTCTGAAATGTGTGCAGGATGTATGGCATGGGACCACACACTTAACAAGGAAAATAAAAAGAAATACTGCACAGCTGCCCATTCAGTAAGCAGCATTGATTCAGTGCACTGAATGAGTCTGGGGGCCCTGCTGAAAAACTAGCATGTGATCATGTAGTTAAAGACGATGTCATGACACAAGTGCAAGGGGTCTGAATTAAGGGTGCACAGACAACCATATATTTAGCATTTCCCGTCTTTCAAGCAGGGATGTGAAAGATAAGCATAACCCTCAGCTGGGAGCAGAGGGTGAGCCCAGAAGCAGCAGCAGGAGTGGGGGAGGGCTGCCAGCTCCCAGCTCTCGCAGGCTGGGAGTTGGCAGCCTCATGTAGGGGAGGGGAAAGCCGGAAGTGGCAGCAGGGGCAGTCCAGTCCAAGCTGCTTCCCACAGCTCCCCTTGGCTGCAAACAGCAAACCAGAGCCAATGGGAGCCATGAGGCTCCATGGCTGCAGATCCGGTAAGTAAACACACTGGAGAGGCCAGTTAGCAAGTTTCTCAGAGTGGTTTCGTGGACCACTTTGAGAAACACTGATCTAGTCACACAGCTCACACTGTCTATGCACATAATAGAGTTAGATCTTTCATTACTGGGTGTGTCGGGAAGGGACTAGAGCATATGCCCTCTTCATCACAGAATGTTTTCAGCAGGTGAAGCTGTGCAATTGTCTGAGCGGGATATAGTTGACAGCCTTATTTCATTTTTCCTAATGGCCAGTGTTAAACGATTGCAGGTTTTAACAGCACTGGCAAATTATCAAGACCTTCTACATTACATGGTCAATGGTCCTTTTAATAGAAAAAGCAATAATATACAGTTGTTTGTGCCAACTAAAACTCATTAGAAAGTATTAGTTTAAGGTAACAGTTCAACAGCAGCTATTAACAAGCACAAATTTCTACAGTTATCATTTGTGATACTGTGGTCCTAGCACAGCTAAAAACAGAAAGCCAGTCCAGTCTTTCAGGTACATAAAATTTGAGGGGAAGGGAATACTTATGAAAAATATTGTTTTGCATCAAGAGTCAAAGTTTTTCAATAATCACCATTTTTCACTAGCATAACATTAGAATTGACTTTTTGTCTTGCTGACATAGCAACTAAGAAAGTTGTGTTGCATTGACCATATTGATTGTGAACAATGCAGCCATCAGTGGGACTTTGCAACATATATTTTCAATATTGACCTTCCACTCCCTTTTTCCATGGCTCTGTAGGCCTGCTATTGAATTTGGACTGCAGTGTAATAAACAGCTAAGGTTTAATTAATGGTAAATGAATACAAGACATAGGTTATGACTTTAACTAATTAGGGAATTGTTGAATTAAGTCTGCTTTGGAATGCAAGGCAGTACAATCAATATCCAATAAAAGGACTATGTATGTAATTTACCTGCAAATGTGTTTCCAATACCATCAAACTGAGTTTAAATAAGTAAGATATATGAAAGGCTACTGGAAAAGATTTCAAAAAGTTAACACTTTGTAGCTTTAGAAGAGGATTCTCACTTTGCAGGAGGATGTCTTGAAATGGTCTTTTACACAGACTGGAAAAAAAGCATAGATCAGCATAAAGGCATCTTTATCTGGACATAGAAATTCTTCTTGGTTTATGTGAACATGCCAAACATCTCCCCCATCTCTATAGTCTGGCACATTAACAAAACAAACCACTGTACAATAGTATTATCAATATAAACTAATGACCAAGCTAAAATGCAAGATTATTTTGTAGCGTCCTCCACCATCTTCCAGCCTACCCCATCCATTATTCTCTCGATGTTAACACATTCCCCTTTCCCTGGCACATGTAGCAACATTCCCTGTTGTGACAGGTCACCACATAAATTCTTTTTCTTGGCCATCACCAACACTTACCACTGCTCCATAGCGTACACCAGTTTACACAGCCTGATTACTTATTCTGTAGTCACTCTTCTGAAGTAATAGAAAAACCTACCTACTCCCTTGTGAGCATCTAAGCTGGTAAACTCCAGAGTCCCATTATGGCCCTTTTTAGGATTTTCCTTATACTTTTTGTGCTTCCCTTCGGGACAATATCTGTAGGAAAGTCCATAATCTACAAGATATACCTGGAAGACATGAACAGACAAATGAATAATATTTTTGTCCTTTGAAAAATATAACCTTTATAATTAAGTCTTAAGAAACTGATAGGTTAAGAACAGACTTAAATCTACATTTTATTAAACCAAATCATGCCTCTGGATAAAATATGTATAAGTGGGTGTTGTAACAGCTCCCCTCCCTATTGAAATACTTCTACCATGCTCTTATCTTATTTCAGACTCAACAGAATTTGTCTTTATTTTTGTTCTTAAGCTCTCTTCTCTCCAGGTGGGCATCTAAACATCATAAACCACAATATGTCTTATCTGTCCTCATGCTGCCAATGAAACCCCTTTCTCTCTTTACTAAACACACCACATCAGATATTTCAACAATTAAGATTATTATAGAAGTTCACTATTGCAAGCGCTATCTATAAAAGTGTGGCAAAAAGAGTAAAAGTCACCTACTGTCTTTAAAACATAAAATCTCAGTTTGCATATAGAATTTACCATAGATATTAGACTGGTAGTAGCCACATCATTACTATTATCACTGCTGGTAACTCAGTACTGGAAACAGTTTTTTAAACAGAATGTAGAAAATTTAAGAAAAAGACAGAAAGCCATCAGAAAAAAATGTTTCTTGGTTACACCGAAACATTTACATTGAAAATATTGTAAAAGTTTTACGAGCACAGAATCAAACTTTGTTTAGAGTTACATTTGGACAGATCCAGTGGGGTTCAATGGTGTTGCATCAGTTTTAACAAAGAACAGATTTTGGTCCCCAATGAACTCCAAGAAGAATGCATTTACTATGACACATTTATCTTCACAGACAGGGCTAGCACATTTTTCAAGATTTTTGGCTATCTGTACCCAAGTATCCCAAGAGAGTATATATCCCCATGGGGCTGAATACTGTACCTGGCATGTATTTTTTAATTTTCTTAACCCTTAGCCATGTGAATAAACATTAATTATAGAAATGATTGAAGATACAATTACTACAGCAAGCTTCACATTTTAAAACAATTTAATTAAGTAGCATTTTTAATGTTACACCTGCAGACAGAGAGTCAAGAGAACTGTGTTCTATTCCCAACTCTGTTATAGTCAGTGTCACTCTGAGCAAGTAATCTGACTTCACTGTACCTCAGTTTCCCTCCATCTTGTAATGCAGGTAGGACTACAGAAAATGCCTACTTGTGGAACACCGTTTTCATGTGTTTGTCTAACCTTTGCCCTTTACCTATTACTAGAAATCGTCAACCTAAATTACGTTTTGTAAATATTCAAGAGCGCTTCTTATTGTGCAACATGCTGCAAGTTCATAGAAGAAAGGTAGTACAGTCCAGATCCAAAGCCCACTGAAGTCTATGCACACATTCTCTAAATAGGTATTATAATGTAAGAATATAAGAAACTACAGTAAACTTCCGATAATCTGGCACCTTTAGGATCCAGGGGGTGCCGGATTATCAGATATGCCCGAGTACCGGAAGGGGGGCTATGAGCGGCGCTGCGGGACCAACTCAGCAGCACTCCAGCTGCTCTGCCCCTGGCTTCCCCAAGTCCGCTGCTGGTCAGTTTCAGCAGCAGCGGGCTTGGGGGAGCCCGGGGGGGA